ATTTCCATTACTATACACTACAAGTACTACAGTATGTAATTCATAGGTTTGAACATAATAGGTATTACCAAAGTTAAAAAAAACACTAGTAGGGCTATTAAAAAAAAGTGTGAAGAGTTTGGAGAAGGCAGGAGGAGTGAACAATCTACAAAACATAGCTGAACTGGAAAGAAAAACCTGTGGGGGGAAAAAAAAATATTTTCAAGGACCTCCTTTTTGGAAAAAAAGCATTCGAATTTGTTCTAATGACTGGACTTTTCAGGTCTCTCGCTGCCCTACCCCCACCTCCACTAACTCTTGCTTGCATGGTCGCTCACTCACTTTTATTATCATCAGATTTAGATCAGATCAGATTATCAGATTTAGAAATCGTCGGTGTGTTATAAATATTTGCACTGATCATTGTTGAGCAGAATACGTTACCATATTAAGGCTGTAAGCTGTGTTGAATCAGTAGAGTCCAACTCCTTATTTAATCTGGAATAATCAATAGTGGATGAAGCACCCTTCTCAAGCCTGGCGAAGAAATTTTCCTTTTCTTCTTGTTCTTCTAAAGTGTCCAAGCCAACTCCGTTGGTGCTTTTATTAGGTCCATAGGCCATAACAGATTCTATAGGATAATACAGAATTGACGTTATCTCTCCTTATATCACATTTCAATTACCAATATATTTGTTGAGTATTTTTCTAGATCTTGTTTAATAAATTATATTTTTATTTCCCTTTGCCAACAATTCACAATATCCTACAAAAATATTGCTGCTTGCTATGGGATATCTATTGGCATAACTAGGTTGACATACAAAATACATTTTAAAATCACCTGGAACTAACTGTTATGCATATATCCATCTTGGGGTTATTAACAGAATTGGAAAAACACAAAGAATATGAGGGGGAGATTTGTACTGGGAAGGAAGGAATATCTGTATTTTTTTTTCCCGGAAGAATTTTGGCTTTTAGAGGGAATTTGTCCTGGGTGTGCTGTGAGCATGCAGATTAATGCTGGATTGTTTTTTGGGGGAAGGGGGATGTTTGCTCAGAGGGGAAAGTGGGGAGAAGTAGTGCTTGAAGGGGGAATTTTGCACTCCCAACGCCTGAATTTTGTCCATTACGAACTCCTGGCGCCTGTATTAAGTGCATTACGTACTCCTGAATCCTGCACTGTTTGTTATGTGCTACTGACTGCAGCATTCTTTGCTCTACACACCCCATGCTACGCACTTCAGAATCCTGCACTTTCTATTCTATATTGTACATTACATACTTCTGATCCAAGTGTTCACTGTCTCAACAGTTGCTGGTTGCTAAGCAATCCACGACTATTTCAATAACGTTCTTCTTTAGGTAGGCTTACGCGCAGTGTAAGCTCTCTATCTTCAGTGTGCACAAAAGCATATGCAATAGTAGTTTCGTTTTTTTGAGAATGATTGTGCTGCTGTTTGCGAAACAGCAAATAAAGCTAATGGTGCATGGACTGTTGCATAGGATGGCAACGAGTAAGCCTGAGTTTTATCCAACCATGCCCCTTTAAGCCTCTCCCACTGTTAACTCAATTTGCCTGGACGAATTTTTACCACCATGCGCTACATGGTGGATAGCATTTACTCTCCTTAAATGCCTAAGGATGCCAAGGTTTTTTTTTTACAACCCCAGCAATGTTCCTACTTAAATCCTTATTTTCCCTTTCCTTCTCCACCTGCTACAGAACAGCCATCAAATGCAAGTCCAAATTAAACACATAAATGTTTCTAGATTTGCTTGCTTTTTAACACTCCCATTAGAAATCAACAGATTTGATGTGCTTAAATAATTTTTTCTGTGTCAAAGATCAATCAGAAAAAAAATGTAGCTATGCACATTCAAATAAAGTCTGCTCAAAATATGTGTCCATTCACATTCAAAATTGGTACTACAATGCGCCAGCGTGCAATACTACTTACTGCAAAGCAATGATATGAATCCAGAGATTTCTGCTCAAGTCTAGTATAACCAGACCAGTCACCCACAAAACATAATGGGGTCCCATCTTTTTTTTTTTTTTAATATGGTATATAACCTTCATGTTGTAAAACATGTATGTTTTCTATGTAGGTCACTGCCATTAGTTGTAGGGTAAAAGCTTAATCTTACTTAAGAGCTGCTCCTTATTTAAGAGTGAGTACGTAGGAGGACAAATTGTTTATTTTTCATTATAGCTGTTATGTTGTACAAAGAATGAACTGTTTTATTCTATTCTCCTGGGGAGCAGAACTACAAATGAGCTTTTCTGCTTTTATTGAATGTCGTACCTTCTTTTGTGTCTAAACAATATTGCAGGTGTGTATTCCTATCAAAGTAAACAATGTGTGTGTGTGTATTACACAATTATCTGTGTGCGCTTCTCATCAAACAAAGCTGGATAACTTCTTTTTTGGAGCCTTTCTTGAACCGTGAAAAAGAACAGCGTGTGGTTATTTAAAAAACAGCTGTGAAATGGTTCCTTTTCTTTTTGTTTATATTTGCAGTGACCCACCTGATTCAGTCACAAAATACAAAATCCTCAAATGTACTCTCCTCGCCTTTGCGGTGAACCTGTAGGCCTCAGCTAAAACAGACAAATCTGTGTCATTCAATGTAGTATTTTGTTTTGTACAATGTTCCCTTTTCTGTTTTTCCACACTAGTGAGTGTACAATCTACTGATACGAAGGTGGCTTTTGAAAGGAAAAGGCTGATGGACATAGAACCAATTTCTGTATAGAAAAGAGCTAACATTTATAATACACACACATACACGGTATAATCTGCTAATGGGACTTTCTATGTTCTAAAGGGGAAAGGTGCAGGAGAAGGAGAACTATGGGGTGAGTGAATTACACTCGTCCGCATAGTTAGACCCGGGGATGAGTGTAATTCACTCACCCCATAGTTCTCCTTTAAATACTTCTTAAAATGATGCAGACACGGCACCTGCACCTTTACCCTTTAGAACATAGAAAGTCCCACTAGCAGATTATACCGAACCCAGGCCCTCCCATTCAGGAATCAGTTTGGAAAGGATATGGTGAAACAGCTTTTTCTTCAACAAAAGTGTAGTTACTCTTCACATCAATCTGCCAATTGCATCCAGCGTTCTCTAGAACTGCTACATTGAAACTCTGTTACTAAGATGTACTTTTTTCCTCAGCTCCATCTAGTGGCCATAATGTGCTATTCTATGAATTAAAGAACACAAGAAAACAAAATTGCCTAAAATCATTACATTTTGCCCCATTCTCACCACACCTGGCTAATTTGCATAGATCGAATGTACATGCAGTTTTGCTGAACAAATAGACCCATATTGGGTTTTGTAGGTCTTTTTTGGGACAAAACAAGATTAACACTTATGATTTATAAGAAGCGAGCAACATTATGAAAATAAACCAAAAATCAAATTCATAGAAAAAAAAAAATGGTGAGACAAGCAGGCACAGAATTCAACTAAATACATCAAGTGGTTAAATCAGGAAAAAATATGTTTCCTACTTTCAGGTTTGCTACAGGAACTCCTGTGCAAAAAAAAGCTGCAGTGCAGTTATCTTTCCCGACAGTTGCCATTATCTACGATGTATTAAGTTTTGTTTACAATTTAACAAGCACTAAGTTCAAACACCTTTCAGCTCATCAGTGCTAAAAATTTAAAGGGCCGGTAATGGCCTTAGGAATCGGGGCATTTTCACGAGTACAAGTACTCGTGAAAATGCCTGGTATCGGTCCCGATACTAGTATCGGGACCGATACCAGGCATTTTCACGAGTACAAGTACTCGTGAAAATGCCTGGTATCGGTCCCGATACTAGTATCGGGACATCCCTAGTAGAAAGTCTTTAGAGCAGGGGGATCCTTGAAAATGTGCTGTATTACTGAATACAAAGCAGGCCAATCCAGAGCTACCAAAATCATTCTCTCTTTTTCTATTGCTACCTTTTTTTAGAACCCTCAGAATCAAATCACACAGAGGGGAAGTGCAAATTCATACAATGGGTCCACTCATGGTCAAGAGCCTCTAATTAATCTCTTGGGTTCAAGGTAAGTAAGCAAGAAAGTGGAGCATTTTCCTTGTTCACAAACAAGTCCATCTCTGGAACCCCAAATTGTTGTATAATCAAATAAAAACACAAGATGATTTATGATCCACACTTCCTGTAGCATTTTCCTGCTGAGAAAATCTGCTACACTGTTGTCTGCATCCTTTAGATGTATTGCCAAGATAAAAAAAAGAACCCTCGGTTCTGCTAAGATACTAACGGTCTGTGATAATGCAAAGAGACTTAGACATCATGATCCTCCCTGCTTCTCCAAGTGGGCTACTGAAATTGTTTGCCACTGCTGCCTAATTGTTGGGTGAATTTTTTGGAATCTTGTTGGCTGCTAGTTTTCCTGTCAGACTATATAAAAGAAACACATTTTTTAGTCGGTCTGGATTGTTTCTTTTTGTAAGGAAATACTTTCTTCCACTTCCTCTGCCACCTTGTCCAACACATCATCTATACTTGTACTAAGCAAATAATCTCCCTTAAAAGGGAATGGCACACAATCTAATTTTATCATTAGTATCACTATCCTAAGCCTTTAGCCATAAGGCCCTATGAGCCGTGTTTGAAAAGCTGCAGCTCTAGCAATCATCTGGGTAGACTCTGCTGATGCATCTGGCAAATAAATAAATAAATCTATAACCGTTTTAAATATAGGTAACTATTCAAGAAATTTTTTTCTATGGGGATATGCTATAACCATCTCTCTACCCCCGTTTTGTAATGTATCAATACAAACATGTTTCTTCATTTGCCAAAAAAAAATAAAAAAGGACCTTGGGGTGTCTACTTTCCAAAAAGGGATCATTTTTAGGGGTGATCATACCTTCCTAGCATTTTTATTTGTGGTTTTATAACAGAAAGTAAGAGAAACTGTTTTTTTCATCTAAAAAGAAAACACCAAAAGAAACATCTAAAATGTATATAAAAATGAATTTGGGTATACTAATGCATGATCATGTAATTGTCAAACTATCACAGTACAGAAAACTGACCAGGTAGTGAAGGGGTATATACAGGCTGGTGCGTTTAAGTGATAGGTCTATCTTTTTACCCAATCGATCATTAAGTCTACCAGTGTCATGGTGTCATTAAAGGGAAGAGTTACATGTAAGTTTAGAGACCACTACATCAACCTAGAGACATTTACTGAATGATCATATAGCCTATTTGTCAAATTAATGTCTGCATTTATTTGATCTAGGTACCAATATTTTTTTAGCCAGGTTAAACTATTGTGAATTATTCAAATTGCCACCCTGGTGAGATTGGCACACAGCCTGGTTAAATCTGTATTCAGCTCTGGTGACATGTGTATTTAGCTCTGTTGAGACCTGTACTCAGCTCTGGTGACATGTGAATTCAGCTATGGTGAGATCTGTTCGCAACTCTGGTAAAATCTGTATTCAGCTCTGGTAAGATCTGCATGCAGCCCAGGTGAGAAACTGCCCTAAAATCATCAGACTGTATGGTTTAAGAAAAAATGTCACATGTCCCTTTAAGAAAAAGTATAAGTAATTAGTATTGGCAAGTACCTGAGGGAAAGTACTTGTACTTGGTCTTGAAAAGTGGTATTGAAACATCCCTACAGGGGACTCCTGCAGCTTTCCATATACATGACAGGAACCAGGTAAGACCTGCAGGGTTCCCAAACCAGCACACCAAAGCATACTGGCCAGGCCTGCTTGGAGTCTTAAAAAGGAGTTTAAAGCCCCTGCGACTCTGCCAAGAGCCTGGTCACCAAATGAACTAATGAGACTTCTAAGTATGTAAGGTCTCGTTCACACCTAGGCGTATTGCATATGCGCGTTTGTCGCGCGTTTTTTTACCGTGATTCGCGGTAAAAAAGTTGCGCGACCGTCGCGCGTTTCTGAAGGCTACTTGGCTGTATCCCAATAGAAAGGCGCAACAAAACGGCCCAAAGTAGTACCTGTACCTTTTCAGGCGTGGGCCGTTTTGTAGCGCGTTAGGGACGGGCGGAAATACGTCAAGGTGGGAACGAGACCATTGAATACAATGGGATTTATATTTTTGAGCGTTTTGTCGAGCGTAGAACGCGCTACAAAACGTTCAGATGTGTACAAGGGCTAAGAGTTAGTGGGGCCTTTTCATTTTTTCTATGGGTTTCCGGTCCCATTCAGATTGAAGGAAGAGTTTCTAAGTTGTATGGAAGGTCTGCTTTGTGACATTAACTTAACTAGTAATTCCTATTCAAGTGGAACTAAACTGTACTTTTAAAAAAAAATTTTGTCCGGCAGGGTTTTCTCTGTATGTCTCTTCTGCATAAAAAAAAAAAAGAAAAAACCCTGCATGCCAGTAATGTTTTCTAAATGAACACTGAGATGCGCATGCAATCCAATACCCAACATCTGTCAGGATGAATTATCTCCCGTGCGCCAGGGAGTTACATAATCCCCGGCTGGCCAATCAAGATGGTGGAAGATGTTGAGCCCAGAAGAAGACCAGGCTGACATGTCAGTGGCCATCACAGTGCTGGCGGGGTTGCTTTGCCAGGTAAGTCTGCCATATACTGCAAACATACTGTGCATATCAATTGATAGGATGATGCAAGTTGCTACAGAATACAGTTTTAGAACGCTTTAAATATGCACTTACCATCAATTTCCAAGCTGTCCTTCTCCATGGATGTGATCAGATAATCTTGTGTTGATTGCTGCAATTCATCAATTTGATTTTCTTCTTCTACCTCTTCAATAGGCTGAGAAGTGCTTTGAGATTTTCGGAAGCTGCGGCTTGTTATAACCAGGTCTGATGAGAAAGTGATTTCTTGTATGATTATCATGTCTCCACATAGTTATTTGCATTAAAAAAGATTTAACTAATTTTTTTGTTTTTATAAACATCATACTGATGTTCACCTGCATTCATAAAACACTGTCATTAATTTACTAAAGGAGTAGAGCATGTTCACTTTCAAAGTTAATTTTCACTTATATTAGTGAATCAGGCGAAATTAAGGGAAAATTTGTTTTCCAAAGAATATTCACATCATGTGTATGAAAAATAAAAAACTGGATTTTTTGCTTGCACTTGATAGGATGACTGAAGTCAGCACAACGTCATCCCAATTAAGAAAGCTACGTGAAAATGTACATTGCAAAGAAAAAAAAAAAAAGAAAAAAACTTTCTTAGCTTAGTGAATGAGGTGAACTTATGCAGACTTCAAGTCATCCAATCATGAACAAGCAACAATCCTGTCCTTTTTTTCATGCATAGGATTGAGTATTCATCAGCATGTTCGGCCGACCCGAAGTGCAGAAGGAGTTCGACTCAGCCGATCCAACATCTGGATCGGCCAAGCCGAACCTCCGGCAGGCTACTCTCTGCTGTTTGGTCTATTCTTATAGATCCCGAACAGCAGATTCGGCTCAAGCTATTGCACCCACCCTCTGCTGCTGTCAATCACTAGAGGGGACCTGATTGAGAACTGCAGGTCCCCTCTGCTGATTGACAGCAGCAGTGGGCGGGTGCAATAGCTAGTTTGCTATTGGCTATTGCAAATTGAAATAGCCAATAGGAATCTAGCAATGCATTCCTATGGTGAAATATGTTTTGTTTTATTTATTCTGACTGCAGCCAACGGCTCCATGTCAGAATAAGAAAAAAAAAGCAGGGAAAGTTTTACTCTGCTCGATCGAGCAGAGTAAACCTTTCTTGGAAAAAGTGTTTCTCTCCTGGGCGGCCGGGAGCGGGAGACTCCCGGAGCGCCCGGGAGAGTTTGCTGTCTGGAGATCAGTGTCCCTGGTAACCAGGGACGCTGATCTCTCTGCAAGTGGCCGGACCCAGCCGTGAGATGACGGCTGGCTCCGCCCAGCTGTCAGAAGCAGGCTGTCGGCCATATGCCTTTGGCTCGACTGAGCCGCTGGGCCAACTTTGGGAGCTGTACGGGCTATAGGGAAGCCCTATAGAATTCTACTGAACCGAAGGGGTCCTGGGGCCGAAGGATCAGCCGAAGCTACGGCTAGATCCTTCGTGAATAGACCCCAAAGTGTTCTCACACCTTGGGTTTTACTTTTTTTTAAAAAAAGGGTTTCTGTGTATATATATATGTATGGACCTTTACCCATATCTTTAAAATAACAACATACACGCCTTTAGAAATGTTTAGTAATGGCAATCTACAAACACATACTTCTAGATAATTGCCGGCTTTGCATACCTTATTTCTTTTTTCTTCCCCAGTCTTCTGGCAGTGGTCATGTTAACTAAGGGCAGATTACTAGCTCTTCATTTACTTCCTGTAACTCTTGCACATGCGACTAGATATGTGACCAGAATCAGAGGTCTTGCTGCACTCCTTACCGGAAGGAACCCATATTGGTGGGTGGGTGGGTGCTCGTAGTGACCACTGACGGCACCGTTTATACCATAAATGAAGAAATAATGTCACCCGCACACCATAGTAGTAAAGCAATAGTCCATTTAATGACACATTGCCATTCGATGCAAGCGCTTTCGGGGCCTCAGCGGGTCCCCTTCATTCTGAGCCTGATGAAGGGGACCCCCTGAGGCTTGCATCGAATGGCAATGTGTCATTAAATGGACTATTGCTTTACTACTATGGTGTGCTGGTGACATTATTCTTTCCCTGCCTTTCCCTGAGATCTCATGAGATTTCCCAGCAATGCTCTGCTGATGTAACCTTCCCAAGATGCAACACTTTGGCACATACATCATTTGTGCCAGAACTGGACCAGGAAGTAGATGAACTCCATTAGTAAGTAAATGAAAAACAAGAGTGTTTAACTAATGAATGTAAGATGACTTTAAGTCAGCATGCAGAGCTGCATGCTGCTGTGATTTTTAGTAAAAGGGGTAAAGGTCCACTTTAACATCTGTCATATCCCACATTACATTAGCTTATGCCATACATAAAACTCTCTATGATCATAAGCCAGGCCTGGAAAAAATCTTTCCAAAATCTAGAAGCCATCTCCAAAAGGCTAGAAATGCTCGTTAGTGGAAAAGAACAGAGTGGCTAAGAGTGGACATTATGGCCAGTTCATACTTGTATATCTCAAAGTTTAAAAATGCATTTTAAAATACCATTCACCATTATGTGGCCTGTGTCTATATCCAGCAGCTTACAGCATTAAACATAGATGAATAAATAAAAATAAATAAGGACATATGACCTTTGTTTGTGCCTTTTTCCCGACATTTAGGCCCATTTCCAGCAAGAATCCTTCACCCATTCCTCTCTAGTTGCCCCATTTTGTTTTTAACCTCAAGCCTGTCTCTGGAAAATCGTTTGTGACATCATTAACTGGCTTCACAATATTTTCTCCTCTAGTGAGGAGGAGGAGGAATCTGCAGGGCTACATCACAGAGAGGCTCCCAGCAGAACTAGTGTGAGGCGTTGAGGTGCCAAGTCACCGACATATTGTATACATAACTATCCATTTGTATTCACAGTTTGACATATTGAAATTAATATTTCATGTTAATTCAGTCTGTTTTGTTTAATAAACTATTTCAATTTATGATTATGAATGTGAAAAGTAATGTTATTTAGATTTTTGCCATGAATTCTAGTTCAAACTACATTTAAGGCAATTAATATCAAAATAACACCAACAGTCTTTTCTAGTCATAAAACCATTAGGAGAATAAAAGCTGTACATGCAGAACAGAATATATTATAAAAAAAAATATATAAAAACCATCAGAGCTTCAATGGGCTCTGATAAGGGAATATGGCCCCAGAAATGCATTAGCCGGGTTGTTTAAAGTACATCGAGAATTTAAGGAGATATCTCAGTAAATATCGATGAATACATCCAGTGGTATTTTGTTATACATGCGTTTTTACCTTCTACAGATCGTGCGTACTAGGGATGCACCGATACTAGTATCGGTATTGGTGTCGATAACGAGTATTTGGGTGAGTACGAGTGCTCCAATACTTGCCCCCGATACAGGAACTTTCGGTTTCCTCTGACCGGCAGGGCCGCAAGGGAACATGGAGTCGGCTTCCCGGCCAATCAGGAAGCCAGGCTGTGGGTAATGACTCGCCACCTGGCTTCCTGTTTGTCTGGGAAGCTGGCTCCATGCTGGGAATCCTTTGTCATTTATTACATGTTAATTTGTAAAACAGACTGTATAAAAATATAGTAAAATATACGATACCAAAAAAAAAAAAAGAAAATCAGGTTTTACAATATATAGGTTTTTCATTTAAGACATGCATGTACAGGCTACTATTTCAACACTAGTAATTTAGGTTCATCCAATTAAACAATGACAGTGTATGACACCTTTACAGATCTTAAATAACCCAAGTTATTATACTACCTTACTGAGACAATCAACCCATCAAACCACTAGCCTGATGTTCACAGACAAATAGATAAAAGGGGTTCAGTGCGTGGAGTCAAGTGTCAGAGCTCAGAATTTTTGCCACCAATTAGACAGAACCCTGCTCTGGAAATCTGAAGTTGGAGCCTGAAACAGACTGGTGGCTGCAAGACATCATATTTTCTCCATACCAGATTTACTATGACAGATAATCTATTACCATCAGAGCTATCAGATGAAGAAGAGGAGTCATCCTGTGATGCTGTGCAAGATTGTCTCTTAGATTCGTAGTACTGTTCCAGTTTCAAGCATTTATCCAGAGTCCTGTTAAGAGATGTACTACAAGGTTCCTGCTCTACTGCATTATAAGGAGGTTGAAAAAGGAACATATAAAAGGATGGAAATGGGTGAATGCAGGTTGAAATGGGAAAGGAAAAAAATGCAAATGTTATTGAGCATGGTAAGAATGCAAGAAAGGTGCATTTATTGTTTTCAAAATGTAAGAAAAAAAAAAAAGTAACCTATCTTTAACTTTGAAAATGCAACAAAGAAAAAAAAAACCCTCTATTCTAACAACTGCTTATATCTAGTCTATCATAAGCAGCAATAGCCTGCAATAGAGTATTAAGGGTTCTAGAAAGCATGAAAACTATACTCAGCCATGATGCAAATCTATTGGCTCTCTAGGGAGGCAGTATGGAAGTCAAGACACATTTTCACTGTTCAACCACAGCACTCAGTCATTTTTGTGAGATTTTGCAAATTGAAAAAACAGATTTGAAGAGGCAAGGATTTTTTTCAAGGGCTAAATAAGTCTTTTAATTCTACGCCAGAGGTCCCCAAGCTTTGTGCAAACCAGACTATATCTCACAAAAACGCTCCAACACACACAAATAATGGCATTTACCAAAAATAGCTTAGATGAGATTTGTTGGGCTTCATGATTAGTGGAACGGAGTAGTGCCCAGGTGTACAATGCATTTTAAAACAGACCTTTACATAGTACGACTCAAATTAAACAAACATATCCTCATAAGCCTCATCATACTTTTATCCTAACTAGCATAGTCAGGATTCTGTTCAAATATTTATAATTACTTTTTGCTATTTTATAAAATCTCCTCTGCTCGTTTTCAGGCAGCCATCTTGGAAAAGGGCACAAGGTTCACCCTTCCTAATTTTCTCCATCTAGCCCCTGATGACGTTCATTAAGATCCTATGCACGCTTCTGTTTCCATGGTGCCACACCCCTGACTTGCGCATACGCACTGCAGGTTAAAGCTTCCCATGCGTGTGCATAGCACAGTAAGCCTGAAGCTTGTGCTTTCATGGCAACATAGGTAAGCTTGTGTTAAGTGTTATGGCTGCAAGATATTATGCAATCTCGCTTTTCATACAAGAGATCTCCCTGGAAGGCAGCAGTGACTCAGTATTCCCAGTGTGCACTGCTT